CGGAGGGTCACTTCCAACTCGTTGATGAATCTTGGGTTCAAAATGGACCTCCTCCTCCTCCTCCTCCTCCTCCTCCTCCTCATCATCATCATCATCATCATCATCATCATCATCAGCATCATCATCATCATCATCATCATCATCATCATCATCCCTCCGCCCTCCTCCATCCTCCCTCCCGCGTTGCCAGAACCGCAGACCTTAGTCCACGGCAACGCTCTGGTTGAGACGAACCCGGCGGCGAGCGAGGGGGGAAAGTGAGAAGGAAAAGGTTTTCTCAGGAGGCTCGGGAATCCCCCCGCCTTCTGGGAAGTCCCACCAGCCCTTTAGGGCGTAGGTGGCATAGGGTATGTTGTTTTCCATCTGCCCATCTTCCCCTTCGGGGAAGGGTTTACCCCTCCCCCGTCCCCCTCCCCTGATCCGCCTCCTCCTCCTCCTCCTTTTCCTCCTCCTTCTCCTCCGCCTCCTCCTCCTCCCTCCTCCCCTCCTCCTCCTCCTTTCCTCCTCCTCCTCCTCTTCCTCCTCTTCCTCCTTTCCTCCTCCTCCTCCTCCTCCTCCTCCTCCTCCTCCTCCTCCTCCTCCTCCTCCCCTCCTCCTCCTCCTCCTCCTCCCTCCTCCTCCTCCTCCTCCTCCTCCTCCCCCATATACCATAGTTTTCCGCTGTGGACCCATTACAGTTGGCCCTGGGGCCTGGAAGCGGGCCCCAGAGGCCGACATCGAGGAAAACGTGATCGAATACTTTGATGGATTGCTCGGAGATGGTCGTGCTCTTCTGGCCGTCGGTGATGTTGGTCTTGGTGTTGACCCAGATCTCGCACCCCCTGTTCTTGATTCCGTCTCCAGACGAGAGGCACAGGAAGACCCCTTTTCGTGACCTCGCGCCTGGACGACAGCATCTCCTGGAGGGCCGCGAAGTGGATGTCGTCGTCACCGAACTGTACCGCTAGCCCGTCACCTCTGTTGGTAATTAGCCGTCTGTCTCCCTCGCGACCCTGGGACCGCCCCGCTGCCTCGCGGTGCCTGTGGCCCGCTGTTGACCGCGTCCAGCGAGTTGGCGTTGTAAGTAGCCACCTTCACCAAGAGCTCGGCTGCCTTGACTTCCTTGTAGCTGGTGGGCTCGACGGGGGGAAGGTCCGCTGTCTCGATGCGCTGCTCAACCACGAAGGCGCCCTCCACCAGGGGGGTATGCATGCCTATCGTCTGGTCCGATCTGCAGCGGCCACTCCCAAGCTCGTTGCGGGGTGTAGACAGCGACCTGCACTAGACGAGGGTCGACGATGGCAACTTCTTGCTTGGTGGCCAGGTTAGCGATGTCGTCGGCGAGCTCGTTCCATGGGTGACCTACGTGGCCGTTGACGCGGGCGTACCTGACGGGACACTCGCGAGCTAAGAGCGAGGACCACACGTGCAGGAGCGTACCCAGCCGTGGGTTGGCAGAGCTGCGGGCCCGACCCTGCGCAGTCGCAAGGACGTTGGCGGAGTCGATGGCGATGTGGACCTCCGTCCCGTCGTCACCCGCAAGCGCCCACAACGCGGCCCATAACACGACGGCCATCTCGACGGTCGAAGAGCCGATTTTGCCCGACGCTGTCGAGGGAGGCAATACATCGCACAGCTTGGAACCAATCATGCCGTGGAACCCGAACGTGCCGATCCTTTCCCCCGGTGCCGAAGCGCACTCGGCTACGACCACCAACGCAATGGCGTCTCTCATGGGTTCGTCGGTCAAACGGGCTCCGTCGGCGCACAACTGCCAACGGTGAACTGAACTGGCGGGTCTGTAGGCGGACATAGCTGGATGCCCACCTTAGCCACCGAGGATAAAGCATCGCCAAGCAGCTGACGCGTCAGCGGGGGTCGGCCTACCTAGGCCAGCAACTGCAAAAGCGCGGTGTCAGCGATGAGGCTGCACTGTCCGCCCTGGTGGCTGTCGGGCCTGGCAAGCACGGCCGCGGCGCTGGCGCGCGCCGCATCCACCTGCCATTCTTCAACCATCGGCGTCGGTCGCGCTGCTGTGGATGGACTGCCCCGTCTCGACGCCGCTGGGCTGACTTGGGCTGGCACCAGTAGCCGGCGCTGGCTCTGCTGGCCTGGGTCGCCCGCAAACTCATCGCCACCCGCGAAGCGCCACCCCGCCTGGACACCGCCCCCCCCCCCCCCGGGGGCATCGACCGCCTTCCCGTCGGGCGTCGGGGGCCACAACGGGAGGGCAACCCCACCAGATGGGGGGGGGGGGGGGGGGGCAACTCCGCGCGGGCTTTCGCCCCTGAGGGACTTGAGCTGGCCCGCCCGTCGGCGATCCCCGGCATGCTCGCGGTCACCCGACGACGCGGCGCTTGGGGCTAGGAGCTGGCTGCCCCAGGGTCGAGGAGTCCTGCCTCGCAGGACTCTGCTCGTCCTGGCTGACTTGTCCCAGGATGGAAAGTTGTTGCTGATGTTGACCAGCGCCTTGCTTGTCTGAGAGGGACTGGGTTTGGTCCTGCGACGTCGCCGAGCGCCGCGTCTGCACTGGGCCGCCCTCGCAGCTTGCGCCGCCCTCTCCACTGCGCCATCCTCTCTGTCTTCCGCGTCGCGGCCGCCGCCGACGAGAAATGTGGACTGGAAATCGACGGGGATGCTGAGGGGGATGGCGTTGTTGACGCGCAGCTGACCTCCACGCTCGCCCTGCCTTCGCGACCCGCGCAGCGCCCTTGACTCCGGAACAGCCACTGCTCTGAGATCACCCGAGGCGATGGAAGCAAGCAACGCATCCTCGCAGCCCTCCGGGGGGCTTTTTACCTGTAGCTGTGTTCCGTGCACTCTGCCGGCGTTGCTGCAGCCTGCGCCAGCTGCATGCACTGCTGCCCCATCGCTTGGACTGGTACTGCAGCGGGCCTCTATCTGGCCAGGTGCCGCGCAAACGCCGCTGACTCCCGCACGGGGCTGCCGCTGCGCTGCGCTGCTGGGAGCGCCTCCTGACGCCTCGCGAGACGCGGAGGCTGACTGTTACAACTGGATGTGGTACGTGGCAACTGGCAGCCCGCCCCGCGAGACGGTGACCGCCCAGGGCCATGCTTCGGAAATGGAAAAGCACACTGACATTGTATAGACGGCTATTCGACTGGCTGCCTCGCGGGACGCCGCGCTGTCATCTCCTGGGCGCTGGTAGCCGGCAGACGCGTTGCTGCAACCAGAGCGCTGCCGATGGCCACGTCGCCGCACATGCCTCTGCGCGCATGCAAGCTGCGCGCGCTGGAGGCCCCAAGCAGCTCGCCGATGACCAGGCGGCCCGCAGCCTGCGAGGCGATGCTCCTGAGCCACCTCCGCGCGCTGGTTAATTACGCCGCGCAATGCTTGGCCGCTGCCTCGGTCGCCGGCCCCCCCCCTCCGCGGGGGGAAAGGTGCTACGACAGGGCGCGGTCCAGACGGCGCGCTGGCTGCCACAGCCTCCTCGCCGCGCCCCCTGGCCACGCTGTCTCTGAACAAGCTGCCCATGAAGATGGCGTGGCGAGTCTCTCACCCGAGTCCACCCTGGCGCCCTTGGCCACAACCCTCTCGAGGGGGCGCCCTCCTGCTGGGTCGCAATGACCAGCCGCCTGCCTCTGCTGGGACGTGAGAGGCTGGGTCGGGGACAAGGGCTCAGACGGCGGATCGCCCGACATGGCCAATTCTGTTCCCCATCGCGGGTGGCGCGCCCTGCTCGTCAGGAGGCGACGACGAACTGGCCCTCGAGGTGGGCGCCAGGTCAGCCGCGCACTCATCGTTGTCGGCACTCGCCTGCTGGACAGCGTCGGAGAAACAGGGGGGCCTGCTCTGGTCGAGGGCCAGCAAGTAGACTGCCGGCTGGAGGCGGCTGCGCCGCGCCCTGCCCGAGCTCCCCGCTCCCCCCTAAGTCCGCCTCGCACTGCTTGGCCGCCATCCTCGCTTCCTGTTCCAAAAGTCTCGCCTGCGCCTGGGCCCTGTCAAACCATTCCTCCTCGCTGCTCTCTTCAGGCTTAGCCGCTGGGAACAAGCGGACGCGCTCGGGGCTTCGTGGCCTTTCCCGTCTTCCTGTGGTGGCCACGTCCTGAGCAGACCTGCTGTCAGCCTCGCCCCCCCTAGGAGTGCGGGACCTGCTGGAAACGCGCAGTTCCGCTGCAGGCAAGGGGCTGGCTGGGACGGTGGAGGCCGAGCCGGCGGGAGCAACTACCGCTGCTGCCGCTTCGACGGCTGCCTCTGCTCGTTGCCGCTGCTGCTGCTGGCTGTACTCGTCTGCCGCCGCCAGGAGCCATCGAAGCTCTGCGACCCAGGAAGATGCCCTCCTGCAACAATGAGGCGTGCAGTCTCTTTGGCGGTCTGATAGCCTCGCAGCTGGATCAACCTAAGTTGCCCCCGGGAGTACTCCTCCAACCACTTGACGGCGCGCTGTGGCCCGTGAACCTCGGACGCCTCGGATTGCTCCTTCGCCGCAATCTCTTTGAGCTAGCTGCGGCAGTCCCAAGCATTGGCGAGAGAGATATCCAGGGACTGCCTGGTCGCCCCCCCTTTCATGCATCTGCTGGCTGGCGGCCCCATCGAGATCACCGACCTGCTGCAGGCTCTGCGCACGGCGGCCCAGTGCTCGGCCCAGCCCCTGGCTGCGTTGGCTGTTCCTCTCGCTGAGGTCGCGGCGCTGCTCGGCAAGCTGGGCCTTCACTCGCTGCTCCCCACCTTTGAAGCTCTGGGCGAACAACTGTGCATCGCATGCCACTGCCGCCCCCTGAAGCGCGCGATGCCCCATACGCTGGGCAACCTCCTCAGCATATTCCTCCGCCCTCCAGCGATCCTCTCGCACCCCAGCCGCAAACTGAACTCTGGCCAACTCCTGTCTGCTGGGCCGCGCTAGACTTCCCACTCGCGCACATGCACTGCCAAATTTGCAACATTTCGCCCCTGGCTGCTGCCACCTCCTTCTCCTCATGTCGGCACCTGGCTTCGGCCCCCTCCTGGTGCTTGGCGAACTCGTTCAAGGAGATCCCCGGAGGAATTCCGGTGCAGCCAGAGGGACCCACACAATTTCTTACCTCGACGGCGCAGAGGGCCATCAAGCGAGAGCAGCAGATGGAATGAGAATTGCCATCGAACACCGTCGATGGCACAGTGTACAAAGCGTCGCACAATGACGAATTCAGGATGGGTGGTGTGAAAGAGGAACTGAAATCCATGTGAACGTGCAGCGACCAGAAAACCGAGGAGGCAACTCAACTCGAAGCGAACTGAAGCGCGAGCAGTCTGGTGCGAAATGGCGGCCAGTGAATCACCGAAGAACGATGTTAGACAATGAAAAGCAGGCAAAAAAACGTAACGGCTGACAGACCAGCTGGTGTTTGGAGTGAAACGCTGTCCCAACACGGTCTGGCAACAGATTGGTAGAGTGTCGGCTAACAAAAACAGCATTGCGAGAGCCGTGGCAGTGGGCGGAATGTGGACCAGCATGCAACGACACCACGGCAGCGCGAAAACTGGGAAGGAAACGCGTCAAATACGACGCGCTCAAACATGCAGAACAGACTGCAGGTCCAGGTCTGCTGTCACGCCACAGGACTGGGCAGTCCGAGCAGGACACACACACACACACACAAAAAAAAAAATGCCTGCTCACTGGCCGCGACGGGCTGGGAACCTGACGGCGCACGGAAGCGAGCCTGGGCAGACCAAGCAGAAAGGGCCACGTGAAAGCCGGTCTGCGGAGTTAGGCCACAAAAACGACGACGGCGGCGACAACGGCGACGACAAGGACGACAACGAGAGAACCTGGTAAGCCTCGAAGGTCCCCAACTGCACTCAAAATCTGGGCGCACGCTGACATGGATCGGGGAAAGTACCCCTCAAAACATGAGGCCAGTGCCGCCAGATTGGGCCACGCAGCGCGCCGATTCTGCATGGAAACGGAGCCCGCCGCTAATCCACGCGCCTCAGTCCATGTCTGCACTCAATCGAGCGATCCCCCTCGTCGCCCCTCCTCCTCCTCCTCATCCTCCTCCTCCTCCTCCTCCTCCTCCTCCTCCTCCTTCTTCTCCTCCTCCCCCCCCCTCCTCCTCCCCCCCCTCATCTCCTCCCCCTCCTCCTCCTCCTCCTCCTCCTCCTCCTCCTCCTCCTCCTCCTCCCCCTCCTCCTCCTCCTCCTCCTCCTCCTCCTCCTCCTCCTCCTCCTCCTCCTCCTCCTCCTCCTTGCCCTCCTGCTCCTGCTCCTGCAGATCGCCCTCCTCCTGCGTCCTCCTCGTCCTCGCCCTCCACGTCGTCGCCCTCCTCCGAGCTCGCTGGCCAGGCATCTTGTGCCGCACCTCGCGCTGCGCCCGAGCCAGGCGGCGGCACCAGCACCTCGCGGATGTCGGCCTCCGACGGAGCCCTCCCGAGGCGGCGCGCGAAGGGTGCCGTGTCGGCCCAGTGTGCACCCACCTGCTTCGCGGGAACTGGATCAGAGACAACCAAAAACCTCGACCATGGATCATGGATCCTCCCCCGTTCGCCGGTGCTCCGCGGGGAGGAGGGAAAATCGGGGTCGGCCAAGAGGGGGGCATCCAAGAGGGGGGCGCAAATCATGGCCAGCGACATGTGCGCGGCCCGGGGGGGGGGGGCCAGGGACGTAATGGAATGGGAACAGGCACCATGAAAAATATGAGTTTCATGGCGCCACGCCATGATATCCACACCCCCTAGTCATCACCACCCTCTTGGCCGCCCCCGAGAGAAGGTAGGAGAGGGGAGGCTGTGAGCGCTCGGCTGGTGCTGGCGCCGGGAGACTGGCCCACGCAGCCGCCGCCACCGCCGCCGACGACGACGACGACGACGACCACGACCACGGCCACGACCACGACTACGACCACGACGACGACGACGACAACGACGAAGACGATGACGACGTTGCCGCCGCCGCCGCCGCCGATGACGACGGCGACGACGACGATCTCCGAAGTCACATATCTTCCGTAGGGACGTCTGGACCCATTCCCTCGCGCTGGCACCCTCGGGGCCCGGCGAGGGCCCCCGGAGGCGGAAGACGTCCAGAGACCTCCGTCGCTGGGTTTTCTGCGGCCAGGCAGGGGCAGAGCAGGGAGAGGAGGACACGGAGGGATCCGTGGAGGCGTCGGAGCTGGAAGGGGGCCTGTGCCCCAGGTGACGCAGCCTTGTAAGAAGGCCGCCTCCATGCCGCGGACTCGCTCTCCCGGCCTCGGCCTGTACGAGTTCGTCGTGATTTTTCCGCGACGACGACGACGACGACGACGACGACGACGACAACGACGACGACGAAGACGACGGCGGCGGCGACGAGCGGCGGGCTCGCACGGCGGGCGCGCGCGCGCGGTGCGCGCCGCTCCGCGACCGCTTCCATGACGTCGCCGTAGACGCCGAAGGTGTCGCCCGACGCGAAGTGGTCCCCGATCTGCCCGGCCGCGGCGAGCGCCGGCGGCGGCGGGTGGCCACGCCGGCGGCGGCGGCAGGCAGCGGCGGCGGCGGCGGCGGCAGCGACGGTGGGAAGCACAAGGACATGCTGGTACGATAACTATGTCCTCCTCGGAGGCGCGAATTTCGGCCCGAGCATCTGGTACGCACAGCTTGTAGCATAGCTCGTTTCCCGAGCGGTGTGGCCAGGAAGTGCCCGCCACGACGCTTACGCTGTAAGATTTCTCGGTGCGCGCGTCGCCCCTGGGGCAGCGACGCACACATACCATTAGTAGTATTTTGGGGTGACGTGGAGACGACAACGACGGCGGCGCCGATGGCGATTCACCTCCGATCGCGCGCCGCTGGCGCACGACCGAAGATAGATCGGCCCATCGCGAGGGCCGATCCCACGCAGCTGCCTGGGTAACGTCACGCATCGATGGTCAGTGTTTGGCACTTTTGAAGCCTCCGTAAAGGAAAAGTCGCCGGCCCGACGGACCAGAGGCGTACTGAGACCTCCGGTAACTGGTTCAGAGTTTTCTGGATCGCGCGCGCGGGGCCGCCCCTGGGGTCCCCGGCCTAAAAATACCCTAGCAACTGGGCGCCACCCTCTTGACCCCCATAAAGCACCAAGAAAGGCCAAGAGGGGCCCCCAAGAGGCCCCCAAGAGGCCCCCAAGATGGTCCGAGAGGCGTCCAGGACACAAGATCGCTCCAACACGCCCAGGATGGCCCCCAGACGGCCCAAGAGCCATCCAAGAGCAATCCCTAGAGGGCCCCAAAAGGCAAAATTCATCGATTTCCCCCCGAGTTTTGAAGGATTCTGGTATTCTCGCCGCTGCAGCTTCCAAAGACGGCCTAAGAGGCCTCCAAGATCGCCCCAAGACGGTCCAAGAGGCCCCCTAAGCGGGCTCCAAGACCGTCCAAGAGGGCTTCAAGACGGCCCAAGAGGCCTCCAAGACGGCCTTAGAGCCCAGGAAAAAAGCCCCAAGCGAGGCTCCAGAGGGGGAGCACGAAATCACATTTCAAGCCCTCGGCCTTCACAGGCCCCCAGGAGGCCCCAAGAGGCCCCCAAGAGGCCCCAACAGGCCCCGAAGAGGCCCTCGGGAGGCGACCAGGGAGCCCCCAAGAGGCCTCCAAGCGGCCCCAGGAGGCCACCAAAAGGCTCCCAAGAGGCTTCAAGACTGCTCCCCAGGAGCTCTCCAAAGCTCTCGCAGAGATTCCAAAAACCTAGAAGGCCACGAGCTTTTCTGTCCTGGCCTACTGGACCCCGCCACGGGTCGGTGGCCATTGGATAAGTCTTCCAAGGAGGTAGGTCTCTTGCCCTCCAGAAGCCCCCGCGAGCGCTCCGAGCAGACCCCAAAAAGCATCCCTGAGGACACTGGCCCACAACGTCGCCATGTCGGTGAGCAGTAGAGGCCAGAACCCCCACGACAAGCTTCAGAGTAACTACTTCACCTCCATGCCTGCTTGTCGCCACGCCTCCAGAAAAGAAAAACAACAAACAAACAAAAAACATGTGTTCAAAATGTTGTTTGCTTGTTTTGTTTACCCCCAAAAAAGAATAAGAACCAAAAAAAGCCAAGCAGCGCCGCATGGGCCACAAACGCGCTGGCAAGCGCCAGCGATGGTACAATACGGGCCGGCGGAATGAGCGGAGCGGTGCAATAAAAACTGCACAGACGCAAGCTGTCAGAGGTCCGGGCGGACCTGCTTGCTCGGCCCTGCCCGCCCCTTTCCTGGCGCACAGAGCGCGCCGGAGGCACCGCCGGTGGGATCCGGCGCCGATCCACGAACTCCGCGCGGACCTCCGCAAGTTCATGTCTGTGCAAAGTTTGGTCCTCCCTCGACTGGCGCTGGGGGGGCCCAGCGCCGATCCTAGGAGTCCGCGCGGACCTCTGGAAGCTTGAGTATGCTCCTGCAGCCCGAGCGGTCGGGGGGGGGCGCCTGGCGGCGCCTGTGCCCCGCTTTGCTCCGCTTCGCTCTGCTCTCTTCAGGGGTCCTGGACCCCCGCCTGCACATTCCTTTGTCACACAGACATCCAGCCCCCCCCCCCCGGATCGGCGGCCTAGGCCGGAGGCCATCCATTACTGACTACCTACCTACCACACCACCCCAACCTGACCCGAAGACCCGAATTTCGGGTTTGGGGGCGTACGGGTTCCACATGTGCTTTTTCACCATTCCCCGACGTCCCTCCACTGGACATGGAGAGCAAGTTGGGGCCTTCGGGTTGGGTTGGGGTGGTTTGCACAAAACAATACAGAGCCATAGTTAGGTGGGTCGTGACTTGCAATATGTTCACGACGTTGCCCCTGATCCTCCTCCTCCTCCTCCTCCTCCTCCTCCTCCCCCTCCTCCCCCTCCTCCTCCTCAGAGCCCCTGGAGGTTCCAGGAAGTCTCCGGAGAACTTGGGACGAGGCCTCAGGAGCCGCGCAGGATCAAACAGCCAAGAAAGCCTGCCGAAACCACCCACAATCCATCCTCGATGCGCGATCCCCCTCCTGCGCATCCTCCTCATCATCAGCGTCCCTTTCGCCGTCACCCTTCCTGGAAAATGAGGGAGTTGTGGACCCTGGGCCCCCCAGGCCCCCCATCCGTCCAGAGCCCTGCGGGATCCCCGTCTCCTCCGAAACCAGACCCCCGACGTCATGAATCCCACCAGCCCTTTGGGCGTGAGTGGTTTAGAGAGCTTTCTCTGTTTTGAGATGGGCTGGTGGGGATACGCGAAGCGTGAAGAATTTTTCATAACGTCGACCCCCAGATGTCTGAACCCTTTCCCCGGGACCAGTTTTCATCCTGAGTCGTTTTGTGACGGTCCCGAGGCCCGCCAGGGGCCCCCCGCAGACCGAAAAAATAACAAAAACCCCCCCCGTCACGATTTTCCAATGACTCAAGGGGGCCTGGGATCAGAGACCTCGACGAAGACGTCGTCGAGAGCGTCGTCTCGACGGTGCTTGCACGTTCCTGGGGGCCCTCGTCGCCACATGGCCGGGCGCTCGAAGGACTGGCCCTGGAAAGACCCGTTGAGGGGTTCGAGGATCCGTTGGAGGCGGATTGTGATCGAGGGGAGGGGGTCCCCAGACCCCCTTGAGGGGTCCCTCCTCCCCCTCCCTCCTCCCTTCGCCTTCCTCCTCCTCCTCCCTCCTCCCTCTCCTTCTTCCTCCCTCCTTCTCCCTCCTCCTCCCTACTCCTCCCTCCTCCTCCCTACTCCTCCCTCCTCCTCCATCCTCCTCCATCCTCCCTCTCCCCCTACTCCCTCCTCCTCCCTCCTCCTCCTCCTCCTCCTCCCTCCTCCTCCTCCTCCTCCTCCTCCTCCTCTCCCTCCTCCTCCTCCTCCTCCTCCTCCTCCCTCCTCCTCTTCCTCGGCCCTCCTCCTCCTCCTCCTTTTCCTCCTCATCATCATCCTCATCCTCATCCTCACTATCATCCTCCTGCGCTCCCCTCTCCTCCCCCTCCGTCTCCTCCGACTCATCCGCGTCAGCCGCGTCCTCCGCCTCCTCCGCCTCATCCTCCTCCTCCTCCTCCTCCATCTCCTCCTCCTCCTCCTCCTTCTCCTCCTCCCTCCTCCTCCTCCGCCTCCGCCTCCGACTCCGCCTCCGCCTCTGACTTCTCCTCCTCCTCCTCCTCCGCCGCCTTCTCAGCCTCCTCCTCCTCGCCTAGCGCCTCCTCCGCCTCCTCCTTATCCTGTTCCTCTTCTTCCTCCTCCTCCTCATCATCATCCTCCGCCGCCTCCTCCATTCCTTTTCCTTATAAATAACTCCTCCCTGTCGCATCTCGAGGCAGGTCGGAAGGGCGGGCCGCGCGCTTCGCCCGAGACTTCGTCAGCATTCATGGCCCTGGAGCGTAAGAATTGGCAACAGCTTTACAGATGGAGGGCGCGTGGCTTCCAAAGTGTGGCTCGCGCCGTAAAGCCGCGCGAACTCGTCTTCAAAATTGTAAGAACTTCGCCTGGACGCCTCGCACATTCGTTTTCAAAATGTGGTTCTCGCCTCAGCGCCCCGCATATTCGTCTGAAACCTGCACGGATTCAGGTCGGGTGGTTTTCAAAATGAGGCTCTCGCCTTAGAGCCGCGCACATTCGTTTTTGACAACCTACGGATTGGAGGCGGGTGATGTTCGAAATGTCGCTCTCGCTTTAGCGCCGCGCACGTTCGTCATGAAAGTTTGCAAGAGCTTCCCACATTGTGAAGGCGGTTCCTTTTCAAAACGTGGCTCGCGCTTTAGCGCCGCGAACAATAGTCTTAAAAATGTGCAAGAACTTCCTGGATTTAGGGCGGCTCCTTTTCAACATGTGACCCTCGCCTTAGCACCGCGCACACTCGCCTTAAACATGTGCGGAAAGTGTTCCTGGTTCCCATCGCTACCAGAAACGGCATGTCGGAACGATTCAGGATTGCCAAGTCGCAACGGTTACGCTGATTCGCGGCTTCGAATTCCAGAAACTGTATTATGGAACGAGACGAGTCAGGATCGTCAAGACGCAGCAATCCGGTTGATACGTGGCGTTGAAGTCCCGAGATTGCTGTCTTGGCACGCTTCAGAATCTTCGAACGGTTGTCTCCAAACGGGGCACCTCCCTCAATGGACATGAACCCGTGACTGGCCTACGACGAGCGAGCTTGGGGAGCAGAAATCATTCGAACATCGGTGATGAGCCGTGGGTTTACACAGGTCTTCCTCCTCCTCCTCCGCCCCCGCCTCCGCCTCCACCTCTTCTTCCTCCTTCTCCTCCTCCTCCTCCTCGTCACCATCATCATCATCATCATCATCATCATCATCATCATCATCAGCAGCAGCAGCAGCAGCATCAGCATCATCAGCATCAGCATCATCATCATCATCATCATCATCATCATCATGATCATCAGCATCATCATTATCAGTATCCTCATCATCATCATCGTCAGCAGCAACATCATCAGCATCAGCATTAGCAGCATCACCATCAGCATCACCATCAGCAGCATCATCAATCAACATCATCATCATCGTCATTAGCAGCATCCGCATCATCATCACCATCATCATCCGCATCATCAGCATCAGCATCAGCATCAGCATCAGCATCAGCAGCAGCATCATCATCATCATCCTCGTCCTCATGATGATCATCATCATCATCAACAACAACATCATCATCAGCATCATCATCATCATCATCATCATCGTCATCATCATCAGCAGCATCATCAGCAGCAGCATCACCATCAGCATCATCATAATACGAATCATCATCATCATCAGCAGCAGCATCATCATCAGCATCATCATCAGCAGCATCATCAGCATCAGCATCAGCATCAGCATCAGCATCAGCATCAGCATCAGCATCAGCATCAGCATCATCATCATCATCATCATCATCATCATCATCATCATCATCAATATCAACATCACTTCCCTTTCCTCCGCCGCCTGCGCCTCCGCTTCCTTTACCTCCTCCTCATTCTCCTCCTCTTCCTCCTCCTGCCCCTCATCCGCCGCCACCTACGACTCTTCATTATACTGTTCCTCATCCTCTTCGTCTTCGTCTGCTTATTACACCTCCTCCTCCTCCTCCTCCTCCTGCTCCAGCTCCTCCTCCTCATGCTATTCCTCCTCCTCCTCGTCCTCCTCCTCCTCCTCATCCCCCTCTTCAGCCCCCCCTCCTCATCCTCCCCCTTGTACTCGTACTCCTGCTCCTCCTCCTCCTCCTCCTCCTCCTCCTCCTCCTCCTCCTCTTCCTCCTCCTCCTCCGCCTACTCCTCCGTCTGCTTATTTTCCGCCTCCGCCTCCTCCTCTTCCTCCTCCGCCTCCTCCTCCTCCTCCTGCTGCTCCTCCTCCTTCTCATCCTCCTCCTCCGCCCCCATTGTCCTCCTCTTCCTCTTCCTCCGCCTCCGTCTCCACATCCGCCTCCCCATCCATCTCCTCTGCCTCCGCATCCTCCTCCTCCTCGTCCCTCATCCTCCTCCTCCTCCTCCCCTCCTCCTCCTCCTCCTCCTCCTCCTCCTCCTCCTCATCATCATCATCATCATCATCATCATCTCATCATCATCATCATCATCATCATCATCATCATCATCATCATCATCATCATCATCATCATCATCATCATCACATCATCAGCATCATCAGCATCATCACATCATCATCATCATCATCATCATCATCATCATCATCACATCATCATCAAGCATCCATCATCATCATCATCATCATCATCATCATCATCATCATCATCATCATCATCATCATCAGCATCATCATCATCATCATCATCATCATCATCATCATCATCATCATTCATCATCATCATCATCATCATCATCATCATCATCATCATCATCATCATCTCATCATCTCATCATCATCATCATCATCATCATCATCATCATCATCATCATCATCATCATCATCATCATCCTCATCATCATCATCATCATCATCATCATCATCATCATCATCATCATCATCATCATCATCATCTCATCATCATAATCATCATCATCACCACCATCATCATCATCATCATCATCAGCATCAACATCATCATCATCATCATCAGCAGCAGCATCATCATCATCACATCAGCATCATCATCATCATCATCAGCAGCAGCAGCAACATCATCATCATCATCATCATCATCATCATCAGCATCATCATCATCATCAGCATCAGCATCAGCATCAGCAGCAGCATCATCATCATCAGCATCAGCATCATCATCATCATCATCATCATCAGCATCATCATCATCAGCATCATCATCATCATCATCGACAACATCATCATCAGCAGCAACAGCATCATCATACGCACCATTATCATCATCATCATCAGCATCATCATCCACATCATCATCAGCATCAGCATCGTCATCATCATCATCACCATCATCATCAGCATCGTCATCATCATCATCAACATCATCAGCATCCTTAACATCATCACCATCAGCATCATCATCAGCATCATCATCAGCATCAGCATCATCATCAAACATCAGCAACCGCAGCAGAAGCAGCATCACCATCAGCAGCATCAGCAGCAGCATCAGTAGCAGCAGCATCAGCATCATCATCACCATCATCATATCGTCATCAGCATCGTCATCATCGTCATCAGCAAGATCATCGTCATCAGCATGATCGTCGTCATCAGCATCATCATCATCATCATCATCAGCATCATCATCGCCAGCATCACCATCATCGTCATCAGCATCATCATCAACATCATCAACGTCATCATCAGCATCATTATCGTCATCATCAGCATCATCAGCATTAGCATTATCAAAATCAGCAGCAGCATCATCATCACCATCACCATCACCATCATCAGCAGCAGCGTCATCCTCATCGTCAGCAGCAGCAGCATCATCATCATCATCAGCAGCAGCATCATCGTCGTCGTCGTCATCGTCATCAGCATCATCATCATGATCATCGTCATCAGCAGCATCATCATCATCAAGATCAGCATCCGCATCACCATCATCAGCAGCATTATAATCAGCATCAGCACCGTCATCGACCATCATCAAGCACCATCACCATCATCATCCTCATCATCATCAGCAGCATCATCATCATCAGCGGCAGCGTCATCATCATAATCAGCAGCAGCAGCATCATCATCATCAGCAGCATCATCAGCAGCAACATCAGCAGCAGCATCAGCAGCAGCATCAGCAGCAGCAGCATCAGCAGCAGCACCATCAGCAGCACCATCAGCAGCAGCAGCATCGTCAGAATCATCATCCTCATCATCATCAGCATCATCATCATCATCATCATCATCATCATCATCATCATCATCATAAGCTTCATCATCATCAGTATCATCATCATAATCAGCATCATCATCACCACCAACATCAACATCCTCAGCATCATCAGCAGCAGCATCATAAGTATCATCATCGTCAGCATCATCATCAGCAGCAGCATCATCAGCAGCAGCATCATCATCATCATCTTCATGCTCCTCCTCACCCTTCTTCTCCTCCTCATCCACCTCCTCCTCCTCCTCCTCCCTCTCTTCCCCCCTCGCCGTCATCATTATAATCACCACCATCTTCGTCATCGCGTTCCTTGCCATACTGTTGCTGCTGCTGTTCCTTCTCATCCGCCCCCACCCGTGCGCCCTGCGCTGGGGCTGCTGGCCTTGTCGTTGGGATTCAGGGCCTTCTTGTGGTCCTTCACGTTCCAGAGCACGTTGATCTCACGGACGGCAAACACAATCAGGGGGGCTTGAGGCCAAGACACCCGCTGGTGAGGCAGTGCCAGAATGAGGGGGAGTGGGCCTGTCGCAGCTCCTGCAGTCTCCCATGTCGCCGCCCTCCTGCACTAAAGCTTTCCCAATGCTCCTCCACTTCCTCCTCCACACCTCCTCCTCCTACCCCTCCTCTTCCTCCTCTTCCTCCTCCTTCTCCTCCTCCTCCTCCTCCTTCCCTTCCCCCTTGTCATTATCCTCATCCTCCTGGTCGATCCGCCTCCTCGATCCCCCTCCTCCTCCTCGATCCTCCCCTCTTCTTCCTCCACGGTCCTCCCCCTCCCACCCCTCCTAAATTGTCACCCTTCGTGATCCTCGATCTTCGATTCCTCTCCTCCTCCTGCTCATCCTTCTCCTTCTCCTCCTCCTCCTCCTCCTCCTCCTCCTCCTCCTCATCTTCCTCCTCCGCCTCCGCCTCCGCGTCCGCAGCCGCCTCCGCTTCTTCCTCCTGCTCTTCCTCATCCCCCTCCTCCTCCGCCAGCACCACCACCACAACCACCACAACCACCACCACCACCAGCACCACCAGCACCACCACCACCAATATCATCATCATCATCATCATCATCATCATCATCATCATCATCATCATCATCATCATCATCATCATCATCATCATCATCATCATCATCATCATCATCATCATCATCATCATCATCATCATCATCATCATCATCATCATCATCATCATCATCATCATCATCATCATCATCATCATCATCATCAGCATCATCACATCATCATCATCATCACATCATCATCACATCCACCATCATCATCATCATCATCATCATCATCATCATCATCATCATCATCATCAGCATCATCATCATCATCATCATCATCATCATCATCATCATCATCATCATCATCATTATCATCACCATCACCATCATCATCATCATCATCATCGTCATCATCATCAGCAGCAGCAGCATCATCACCACCACCATCATCAGCATCATCAGCAGCAGCAGCATCACAATCATAATCAGCAGCAGCAGCAGCAGCAGAACCACCAACAGCACCATCATCAGCATCATCATCAGCATCATCAGCATCATCAGCATCGTCATCAGTATCATCATCAGCATTATCATCATCATCATCATCATCATCATCATCATCAGCATCATCATCATCATCATCATCACCACCACCATAATAATCATCATCATCAGCAGCAGCAACATCGTCCTCAGCATCACCGTCATCACCATCAGTACTAAGCATTATCATCCTCATCATCAGCAGCAACCTGATCATCATCATCATCATCATCATCACCATCATCAGCAGCAGCATCGTCCTCAGCATCAAAAACATCATCATCCTCATCATCATCATCAGCATCATCATCATCATCATCAGCATCATCATCATCACCATCACCATCACCATCACCATCGTCAGCATCAGTAGTAGCAGCATCAACATCCGCATCATCGTCATCACCATCACCAGTCGCAGCACCAGCATCAGCAACCGCATAGGCATCACCATCATCATCAGCAGCATCATCATAATCAGCAGCAGCATAATCAGAATCAGCACCATCATCATCAGAATCATCAGCATCATCATCATCAGCATCATCGGCACCATTATCAGCATCATCATATTCCTTATCATCATTATCCTCATCGTCCTCTTCATCCTATCCTGATCCGAATCCTCTTCACCACCACCACCACCATCATCATCATCATCAACAACATCATGAACCACTTCCCACCATCACCATCCTCCAGGTCATCCGCCTCCTCCTCCTCCTCCTCCTCCGCCTCCTCCTCCTACACCTCCTCCTCCTCCTCCTCCTCCTCCTCCTCCTCCTCCTCCTCCTCTGCAGCCTCTCCCTCGATCCTCCTCCCTCCCAGCCTGGCGGGGGGGGGGGGCCGCGGCCAGCTGGCGGAGGGCGGGCGCGCGCCTGCAGCTCGAAGCACCCCCTGGGCCCCCCCTCCTGCTCGCTGGCCTGCTTGCTGGCGGTCTCGAACACCTGGGGGGGGGGCCCAGCCTCACTCCGGGGGGCGGGCGAACAGGCACAACGCCAGGCAAGGGTGGCCCGGCGACCGCGGGGAGCCCGGCGGCGCGCACAAGGGGGCGGCGCAGGCCAGGAGGGGGCGGCTTCCACAAAGCCCGGGGGACTCCTTAGATGGACAAGCGCGTTCCACGACTCGCAGAGTAACTACTCGCACATGGCATGGATCCGCCACGGGGGATTCGCGATCCATTACATGGAGGAAGACATGTTTTTCTCGGACGTCTGCGGGTAGGCACTTTGCGAGTAGTGGAACGCCCTCGGCGATCAGAAGCCTTTCCACCGTCGGGGACGCCGTCGTGGAAGCCTCCGAGCCCCCTCTGAGGAGCCCTTCTGCCCTCTCTTAGAAGGCCACCGCCTCGGGCACGCGCTTGCCGCGCGCCGCCGAGCAGCCGCTCGCCTTACGTCGGGCATGTCCTCCTACAGACGGATTTGGACGAAAAAACAATTACTCCGACGGTAGGACCCCACATGAGAATCTGTTTAGTTTACCCTTTGCCCTTTCCTCTTCCTCCTGGGGTTCCCGCCTGAGACTTCCTCACAATTCACTCACAGACGAGGCTCCCGCCCGAGACTTCCTCCATATTCATATCTCAAGAGCCCACAAGTGACGACAGTTGCACGTTGCGGATGACCCGCTCGGATTCAAACATGAAGTGCCCCATAGGGAGGGGGCTCCCGCCTGAGACTTCCTCGCAATTCACTCACAGACGAGGCTCCCGCTCGAGGCTTCCTCCATATTCAAGTCTCAAGAGCCCACAAGTGACGACAGTTGCACGTTGCGGATAACCCGCTCGGATTCGAACATGAAGCGCGGGCCCCATAGGGAGAGGGCTCCCGCCTGAGACTTCCTCACAATTCACTCACAGACGAGGCTCCCGCTCGAGGCTTCCTCCATGTTCAAGCCTCAAGAGCCCAGAAGTGACGACAGTTACACGTTGCGGATGACCCGCTCGGATTCAAACATGAAGTGCGGGCCCCATAGGGAGGGGGCTCCCGCCTGAGACTTCCTCGCAATTCACTCACAGACGAGGCTCCCGCTCGAGACTTCCTCCATATTCAAATCTCAAGAGCCCAAAAGTGACGACAGTTGCACGTTGCGGATGACCCGCTCGGATTCAACATGAAGTGCGGGCCCCATAGGGAGGGGGCTCCCGCCTGAGACTTCCTCGCAATTCACTCACAGACGAGGCTCCCGCTCGAGACTTCCTCCATATTCATATCTCAAGAGCCCAAAAGTGACGACAGTTGCACGTTGCGGATGACCCGCTCGGATTCAACATGAAGTGCGGGCCCCATAGGGAGGGGGCTCCCGCCTGAGACTTCCTCACAATTCACTCACAGACGAGCTCCCGCTCGAGACTTCCTCCATATTCAAATCTCAAGAGCCCAAAAGTGACGACAGTTGCACGTTGCGGATGACCCGCTCGGATTCAAACATGAAGTGCGGGCCCCATAGGGAGGGGGCTCCCGCCTGAGACTTCCCCGCAATTCACTCACAGACGAGGCTCCCGCTCGAGACTTCCTCCGTATTCAAATCTCAAGAGCCCACAAGTGACGACAGTTGCACGTTGCGGATGACCCGCTCGGATTCAAACATGAAATGCGGGCCCCATAGGGAGGGGGCTCCCGCCTGAGACTTCCTCACAATTCACTCACAGACGAGGCTCCCGCTCGAGACTTCCTCCATATTCAAGTCTCAAGAGCCCAAAAGTGACGACAGATGCACCTTGCGGATGACCCGCTCGGATTCAAACATGAAGTGCGGGCCCCATAGGGGAGGGGCTCCCGCCTGAGACTTCCTCGCAATTCACTCACAAACGAGGCTCCCGCTCGAGACTTCCTCCATATTCATATCTCAAGAGCCCAAAAGTGACGACATTTGCACGTTGCGGATGACCCGCTCGGATTCAAACATGAAGTGCGGGCCCCATAGGGAGGGGGCTCCCGCCTGAGACTTCCTCACAATTCACTCACAGACGAGGCTCCCGCTCGAGACTTCCTCCATATTCAATCTCAAGAGCCCAAAAGTGACGACAGTTGCACGTTGCGGATGACCCGCTCGGATTCAAACATGAAGTGCGGGCCCCATAGGGAGGGGGCTCCCGCCTGAGACTTCCTCGCAATTCACTCACAGACGAGGCTCCCGCTCGAGACTTCCTCCATATTCAAGTCTCAAGAGCCCAAAAGTGACGACAGTTGCACGTTGCGGATGACCCGCTCGGATTCAAACATGAAGTGCGGGCCCCATAGGGAGGGGGCTCCCGCCTGAGACTTCCTCACAATTCACTCACAGACGAGGCTCCCGCTCGAGACTTCCTCCATATTCAAGTCTCACGTTTGCACGTTGCGGATGACCCGCTCGGATTCAAACATGAAGTGCGGGCCCCATAATGAGGGGGCTCCCGCCTGAGACTTCCTCGCAATTCACTCACAGACGAGGCTCCCGCTCGAGACTTCCTCCATATTCAGGCCTCAAGTCAGCGAGTAGTGATGATGATGATGATGATGATGATGATGATGATGATGATGATGATGATGATGATGATGATGATGATGATGATGATGATGCTGATGATGATCGTTCGATGCCGATGATGGTGAGTGATCGTGGGATGGTGATGGTGATGCTGATGGTGATGATGATGATGAGTGGGGAGTGATGGTGATGGTGATGATGATGCGGAGGAGGAAGCAAAGAGGAGCAGAGGAGAGGGAGGAGGAGGAGGAGGAGAGATCCTGCGCGGAGGGCGTGCAGAGAAAATTATACTAACGGAGTTCCCCACATGGGCGTTTTAATAGGGCGCGGGCTTAGTCAGGAGGAAGAGGAAGAGGCGGAGGTGCGGGGGGAGGGGTCGACGAGGATGGCCGGGTGACGGGGGCGACGAAGACTGCAATTGGCGATGGCGATGTGCAGGCAAATGTTTTGGGGAACACCTGATAAATAATATGGTTCGCGAATTCTGTCCTCGCTCTGGCGGGGCCGGCACGAAACCTGATAAATAATATGGTTTGCGAATAATGTCCTCGCTCAGGCGGGGCCTCCCTGGAGCGGTGGGAGGGGCACGAAACCTGATAAATAATATGGTTCGCGAATACTGTCCTCGCTCTCCCTGGCGGGGCGAAACCTCCCTGTCCTCGCTCAGCGGGGCCTCCCTGGAGCGGTGGGAGGGGCACGAAACCTGATAAATAATATGGTTTGCGAATACTGTCCTCGCTCAGGCGGGGCCTCCCTGGAGCGGTGGGAGGGGCACGAAACCTGATAAATAATATGGTTTGCGAATACTGTCCTCGCTCTGGCGGGGCCTCCCTGGAGGGGTGGGAGGGGCACGAAACCTGATAAATAATATGGTTCGCGAATACTGTCCTCGCTCTGGCGGGGCCTCCCTGGAGCGGTGGGAGGGGCACGAAACCTGATAAATAATATGGTTTGCGAATACTGTCCTCGCTCTGGCGGGGCCTCCCTGGAGGGGTGGGAGGGGCACGAAACCTGATAAATAATATGGTTCGCGAATACTGTCCTCGCTCTGGCGGGGCCTCCCTGGAGCGGTGGGAGGGGCACGAAACCTGATAAATAATATGGTTTGCGAATACTGTCCTCGCTCTGGCGGGGCCTCCCTGGAGCGGTGGGAGGGGCACGAAACCTGATAAATAATATGGTTTGCGAATACTGTCCTCGCTCTGGCGGGGCCTCCCTGGAGCGGTAGGTAGGTATTGTATGGTATTGTATGGTGTGGTAGGTATGCGGTGATGGTGTATGTATGGTTTCCTACGTGCTTGCCTGACTCCGGTGGTCTGCTATAGTATGGTATGGTATTGTATGGTATGGTATAGTATGGTATGGTAGGAATAGGAAGAGGGAGCGAGCGTGGTAGGTAGGTATTGTATGGTATTGTATGGTGTGGTAGGTATGCGGTGATGGTGTATGTATGGTTTCCTAGGTGTGGTATGGTAGGTACGGTGGTCTGCTATAGTATGGTATGGTATTGTATGGTATGGTATAGTATGGTATGGTAGGAGTAGGAAGAGGGAGCGGTATTGTATGGTATGGTATATGGTATGGTAGGAATAGGAAGAGGGAGCGGGAGGTGGGAAGGTGGGAAGGTGGGAAGGTGGGAAGGAGAGGGTGTCCTGGGAAAACAAGAACCCCACTCAGGATGTGGGGAACAAGAACCCCACTTAGGATGTGGGGAAAAATAGTCGACATAGAGTCAATAGTGCTCATTAATACTCAAAAAATCGTCACCTTTTTCATTGTTGACTATTTTTGAACATGCCTCCTGTAGAGGGACAGGCCCGACTTAACGCTCGCCCCATTCATGGGAGCAGAACATGAGGACAGCGAGACAGAGCACGAACTTGCGCAGCTCAGAACACGCCCCTCGCAGACGGACGAGAAGAAGATGATGATGAAGAAGAAGGGATAAGGAGAAAGAAGAAGAAGAAAGGAGAAATAAGAAAGAAGACGAAGAAAAAGAAGAAGAATAATAAGAAGAAGAAGCAGAGGAAGAAGAAGAACAAGACGGAGGAGGAGGAGGAGGAGGAAGAGAAGAAGAAGAAGAAGAAGAGGCAGAGGCATAGACCACAAGTTTCTGATGTCCGCGCGGATGTATTGGATCGGCGCTGACCCCCTTCCTTGGCGCGCGGGGTGCACCAAGGAGGGCGCTAGAGGCGTCGCCAAGGGGGGCCCAACGCAGATCTAAGAAATCGCCGCGGATCTACGAAAGGTGATATTTATACCTGATGTTGTATCTCAGACCCCGTGCTCGGGGGCGGGCGAAAAAATTAGATATCAAAGGGGAGGCAGCAAAGGAGATGCTTGGCCGCTGGGCCAGGGGGGGGGGCGTCAGAGACAGATCGTGATGAAGACCTGGGTCGGGGGGGGGGGAGCCTGGACATGTATGAGCCCATGTTGCGAGGAAAAACACGATGTCCGAAATCTGGGAACAAGGGGGGCGCAGCGAATCAGCGTACGCAGCTTGTTCTCCAAGCGCACCCCGGCACTTGAGGCGCCAATGCCTCAAGAAGGACCAGCTGTGGGGCTGAAACCAGCAAATTTCGCACCCCGCCCCTGGATCAGTCCACCACTTTCGTCCGACCCGATCCACCACGAATCGAAAATATCATCCACGTCGGCCGTCCATCATGCAACGGCTGGCGTTAGGAATGGATGATGTAGAATGGAGCATGAGGTGTTCACCTCGCAAATAGACTGCACTCTGCGCACGGGCAATGAGGGCGTGCGTGCGCTTCGGTACCCGAGCCTATCCTGAAACCACCCTGCAAGGTTCCCTTAAACTGGGGAGGGGAAAAGACAGAGACAGGTGCCTATCTGGGGAATAAACAAATATGCACAGACACACACACACACACACACACACACACACACACACACACACACACACATCACGCAGCACACGCGCGCAAGATTCGCAACGCGTGGCACGGGTGGCATTTCTCGACACCTGAAGGGGTGCGCAGGCGGTGGTCCCTCACCGCGGCGAGAACGCGTTTCACGGGCGCCTGCCTTGGGAATATTCGGCGACGCGTTTCGAACCGAGGGGTGGGCCCCCCCCCCAACACTCGGCGCCGTCGATCAAAACCAGGAGGGCTCCCCTCCCCCCCAAACACGCCCCCTCCCGAACCCCCCCCCTCCCAGGGGGGGTTCAAAGCCCCCCCCCTGGCGCCGGCGCCGGCGGCCGCCAGCAACGCCAACGGCGGGGACGCAGCGACGATGACCACAGGCAGCCCACAAAGGGGGGGGTTCAACCCGCCCCCCCTGGCGCCGAGGGGGGGGGGTTCAAACCCGCCCCCCCCCTGGCGCTGGCGCCGGCGCTGGCGGCGGCCAGCAGCGCCGGCGCTGGCGCCGGCGACGGCGGGGACGCAGCGACGATAGCCACCACTACCACCACCACCACAACCACAACTCACTGACCATCACCACCACCACCACCACCAAAAAAAACACCACCACCACCACAATCTAACTACTACGCCACCACCACCACCACTGTCACAGAAACACCGCTACCACAAGCACAACCCACCACCACCACCACAAACCACCACACCACCACCACCCGCCACCGCCACCACCACCACCACCACCACCACCAGCATCACCTCCACAAACCACCGCCACCACCACAACCCACCACCACCACCACAAACCACCACCACACCACCACCAAACCACCACCATCACCACCACAACCCACCACCACAACCACCACCACCATCACCACAACAAACCACCACACCACCACCACCACCACAACCACCACCACAACCACCACCACCGCCACCACCACCACTGCCACCACCATCGCCGCCACCACCACCACCACCAACGTAGTCCTCGTCGACCCTCCCCGCCGCCGCCGCCCGCCGCCGCAAGCGCCAGCGCTGGCCCAGAAAAAGAAATCGTCGTCCCCGCCGCCGACACCGCCAGCCGAGGGGAGGGAGAGAGGAGAGGTAAAGGGGGGGTGGTCGAAAACCTCCCCCCCTCCGTCACGGGAGGGTGGGGGGGGGGTCCGGTTCCGACCGCCCGCCCCTTTCCAACCGACCACAGAACGCGCTCTTTCTCACCGCGGTCTCTATCCGTCCCAGGGTCGCGGGGTGTGGCAGGCGTGGCATTTCCTCCACACCACAGGGTGTGCATAGGGGGTGGTCCCTCAACGCGGTGTCTATCCGTCCCAGGGTCGCGGGCGTGGCAGGCGTGGCTCTGTCTCCACACCACAGGCGGTGCGCAGCGGGTGGTCCCTCACCTCGGTCTCTATCCGTCCCAAGGTCGCGGGGCGTGGCAGGCGTGGCACTTTCTCCACACCTCAGCGGGTGCGGAGGGGGTGGTCCCTCACCGCGGTCCCTATCCAGCCCAGGGTCGCGGGGCGTGGCAGGCGTGGCACTCTCTCCGCACCTCCGGGGTCGCGGAGGGGGTTGGACGCGGTCCCTATTCGTCCCAGGGTCGCGGGGGGTGCGCAGGAGGGTGGTCCCTCACCGCGGTCTCTATCCGTCCCAGGGTCGCGGGGTGTGGCAGGCGTGGCATTTCCTCCACACCACAGGGTGTGCATAGGGGGTGGTCCCTCACCTCGGTCTCTATCCGTCCCAGGGTCGCGGGGCGTGGCAGGCGTGGCACTCTCTCTGCGCCTCAGGAGGTGCGCAGGGGGTGGTCCCTCCCCGCGGTCTCTATCCGTCCCAGGGTCGCGGGGCGTGGCAGGCGTGGCATTTTCTCCACGCCGCGGGGGGTGCGCATGGGGGCAGGTCTCGCCGTTGCATTCCACCAGTTGCACTAGCAGGGGTTTGCGCAGCATCCAGATTTGCAAAAACTTTGGTTCAAGCAGGCTCGGAGCGCGAGGGTACCCAATCGAAGGTCGCGGTTGCTTGTTGCGCAGGCGCGCAAGCCATGCCGCCCAAAATTGCCGTGGGCGAGCTGCCGCCTCCGTGCTCGACGCTGAAGGAAGAAATGATTCAGATGGGCGGCGAGGAAAGCTTGGCTGGCTTGCGCTGCTGCTCTGAAGCGGCTGTGCACACCGCATTGCGCGCGTACCGCCGCCAGCTGAAAAATTGGTGGCAAGATAACGAGCTGGGACACCAAAGAGGGAGCGACGATGTCCAGAGGCAGTAGTAGTAGTAGTAGTAGTAGTAGCAGTAGTAGTAGTAGTAGTCGTAGTCGTAGTCGTAGTCGTAGTCGTAGTCGTAGTCGTAGTCGTAGTCGTAGTCGTAGTCGTAGTCGTAGTCGTAGTCGTAGTCGTAGTCGTAGTAGTAGTAGTAGTAGTAGTAGCAGTAGTAGTAGTAGTATAGTAGTAGTGGTGGTAGTAGTTGTAGTTGTAGCTGTCGTAGTAGTAGTAGTAGTAGTGTAGTAGTAGTAGTAGTAGTAGTCGTAATCGTAGTAATCGTAGTAGTAATCGTAGTAGTAATAGTAATAGTAATAGTAATAGTAATAGTAATAGTAATAGTAAATAGTAATAGTAATAGTAGTAGTAGTAGTAGTAGTAGTAGTAGTAGTAGTAGTAGTAGTATGGTAGTAGTAGTAGTAGGAGGAGGAGAGGAGGAGGAGTGGTAGGGTAGTATAGTAGAAGTAAGTAAGTAGTAGTAGTAGTGTGGTGGTGTGGTGGTAGTAGTAAGTAGTAGTAGTAGTAGTAGTCGTAGTGTAGTAGTAGTAGTAGTAGTAGTAGTAAGAGTAGTAGTAGTAGTAGTAGTGAGTAGTAGTCCGTAGTAGTAGTAGTAGTAGTAAGTAGTATTTAGTAGTAGTAGAAGTAGTAGTAGTAGTGGTAGTACTAGTGGTAGTAGTAGTGGTAGTACTAGTAGTGTAGTAGTAGTGCAGTAGTAGTAGTAGCAGTAGTAGTAGGAGTAGCAGTAGCAGTAGCAGTAGTAGTCGTGGTAGTAGTAGTGGTAGTAGTAGTAGTGGTAGCAGTAGTAGTAGTACTTATGGTAGTCGTGGTAGTAGTCGTGGTAGTAGTCGTGGTAGTAGTAGTAGTAGTAGTAGTAGTAGTAGTAGTAGTAGTAGTAGTAGTAGTAGTAGTAGTAATAGTAGTAGTAGTAGTAGTAGTAGTAGTAACCGTAGTAGCAATAGTAGTAGCAGCAGTAGTAGTAGTAGTAGTAATAGTAATAGTAGTAATAGCCATAGTAGAAGTAGTAGTAGAAGTAGTAGTAGTAGTACGAGTAGTAGTACTAGTAGTGGTCGCAGCGGTGGTGCGCACATACCACAAAATAGGTATGTGGGGTTCCTCGGTAGTGCAATTTCGCTTCTAGCAACTCCCGAGTTCGGTGGCAACCCATGGGAGCATTCCATACCATCTTTATCGGCTCTTGCGAACCCAAACACATCGACGCCAAAGCGACGCCAATCGACGCTAATCGACGCTAAATCGACGCTAAATCGACGCTAGCCGGCGCTACATCGGCGCTATCCCCATCGACTCCCAGACGCCAACCAACGCCGATCGACGCCGAAGACGGAACATCACGAGGGCACACCAGGTTCTTAAGGGGTAGGGGGCCACATGCGAACCCTCCCCCTCAGAAATCGTGGGAGGTAGGGGTAGGGTTCGCATGTGGCCTCCTAAGGGGGGAAGCGGGGGGGGGGCGGGCAGGGCCAGCTCGCACTCGTCCATGAGGTCGACGATCAGCATGGACGGGCTCACCCGGAAGGGGTGCTCCTCGGCGCGCCAAGGGGCCCGCTACGCTCTCCGCGTATCCGGCGGGAGCAGCTGCTGCTGCAACTCGGGGGCCAGGGGGCCCGACTCTGAGACCCAAGACTTCCCCGAATAGACAAACAGGGCACTTGAAGTGGAAAAGTACCATGTGCCCCGGAGGGGGTGATCAACATAAACTTTTCTTCAACCACGAGAGCTCAACAACCACGAGAACAACAACAACAGCCGCAGCAGCAATAACAACGAGAGCAGCAACGACAACGACAACGACAAGGCCAACGACAACGAGAGCGACAACGACGACGACGACAATCACAACAGCAACAGCAACAACAAGCATACCGTTCAATACGTATACCTGCTCGCGTACCGTTCATACTGTTCGCTCTTATCTGCTCGCGTGCCGTTCAATACGTATACCCCAAATCCTTGGTACCCGCCCTCATCGTCTTCGATCGCACCCCCATTACGGGTATATCTCCCTTACCTGCCAAGAGCATTTGGCGCAGCCCCCAAAACAGGGGAAGACAGAGCGGTTGGAAAGAGGGGACAAGGGGGAGAGAGAAGGATGGAGCACGAGGGAGACTAGCGAGAGGGGTTCAGGGCAGAGAACACGTGGCAGGACCAAGCGGGCAGATCAGGCGGGTACATCGGCCCCAACGGGCGGGTCGGGAAGGCGGGCCCAGGCGGCCGGGTCGAGCAGGCGGGTTGCTGAAGCGTGAGTCCCGCATGAATCGCGAGGAAGTCTCCAGATTCCCAAGTAAATCGTGAGAAAGGCCAATACGAGAGCGTGAGTCCTGTGTGTCGAGGGCGCGGAGTCTGAATATATGACGAGAAGTCCCACGCGAGAGCCCGATTCTTGCATACATTATGAGGAAGTCCCGCGCGAGACCGCGATGCTCGAATAAACTGTTAGGAGGCATCAGGCGGGAGCCGTTGTTGTGGTAGACGGGGGGCCAACAAGCCTGTCTGCAGCGAAAGACCCTCCATTGTAAAAAAACCAGGTGCAACCCCTGGGAGGAGCACTTGAATTAGAGAAAAGCATGGGCACTGGGGGGATAAGCATCAATCATTATTTAGCAATTGAAGCAAAATGTTTCGCTCTCATATACTCGCGTGACATCAATATGAATCTCCCCAACCCTCCACATCCGCCTGTCTTCGTACCCCTTTGGGGGATGTGTCTTCCTATCCTACCACGAAAAGTTATTTGGCGCAGCTCTGAAAACAGTAAGAACTGAAAAAAATGAGAAGGGAGAGAGCGAGGAGGAAGGGAGCGGGTGAAGGGGAGGAGGAAGGAAGGCGGCAAGAGGGAGCAAGGGAGAAGATGGAGGACGAGAGGGATTAGCAATAGGGATTAGCAAGTTGGGATGGCAAGGAAGTCTCAGGCGAGAGCACGGTTCCTCAGCAAATAATGCGGAAGTCAGGAGCGAGAGCGCGATGAGAGAGCGATTCGTGAATAAATTGCATGGACGTCTCAGGCGTGAGCGCGATCCCTGAATAAATTATGAGGCCCCAAGCGAGAGCGCGATTCCAGAGCACCGCGAGAGCGACTCGTGCATAAATTGTAAGGGGATGTTTAGCGAGAGCGCAAATCCTGAATAAATTGCAAGGACGTCGCTAGCGAAAGCCCTATTTTTCAATAAACTGTGAGGAAGTATCAAGCGGGAGCCGTTGTTGTTGCAAACAGGGGGTCAAGGGCACAGTCTGACGCACAGGACTTTCCCTTGCAACAAACCAGGTGCGAGCCCTGGCAGAGGCACGAATGGGCACCGTGTAAGGGGATCGAATGCAATTCGATCTTAGAAATGAAACTTCAACGACGACAACACCAACAAAAAAAATCGATGCTCTGCGATAGTGCAGATCGCTCGATAGCGACCGATTCGGAGACACCGACGGCGCTCGATCTTGAACGCCCACGCCGGGATCGCCACCGCGTCGACACGACACGTTCAATCTTGACTGCCCGCGCTGGGACCGCAGCCGCGTCGACACGGCGCAAGCCTACGATGCGGCCGGATTGGATGGACGAGCACGCGCGGGCGTCGCGAGTGGGCACCAGGACCCCTTCCCCGAGAGCCGCACGCTGCCCCTGAGGTGCGGAGGACGCGGGGTGCGAACTTTTTTCTTGATCTGCGGGGTGGGAGCGAACCTCTTCCGCTGAAAGCTGAGCGGGACGCGCACAGCTTTGATTATGACACGGGGCGCGAACCGACAGGGCACGAGGGCACCCTCGACCTGGGAAGGGCTGGCCTGCCATCAAGCTCCACCGCACTCCTCCTCCCGGGGTGGCGCCGAGGCGGGGGCCGGGAAGCGGGGGGGTTGAGCGCCCCGTGGCCCGCGGCGCGAGCGCGCAGACGGGGGGCGCCCGTGGACGCGTGAGGACTTCTTCCGCTGGCGGCGAGGCAGAGGCGGCCCGCTCCAGCGCGCGGCTGCTCGGGGCAGCCGAAGGGCGAGCTGGCCGGCGTGCAGGGAGGAGGGACGGAGACGAGGGCGGCCGCGCGGGGGGAGGGGGAGAGGAAGACGCTCAGTGCTCAGACAGGGGTGAGGAGGGCAAAAAAAACAGCGGGAGCTCGCATGGCCCCCGCCATGACATCCGCCCACCGCTGCCAGTAGCCCTCACCTCCCCCATGGACGAGGCCGATTCTCCCCACTGGACACCAGCCCAGCTTGGGGATCTCAAGACCGTGCGGTGACATGCCGTGCTGTGACCTCGACATCCCGAAGGACGTCACCGCACGGTTCGTCGCCGCACGCTTTTGGGACCTCAGAGGCCCGAGTCGCCCAAGACGTCCTCGGAGAACAGCCCAGGTCCAAAAACCGTGCGGTCACCCCGAATCCACACTAAGTCACCACACGGTGTGGTTAGACAAGCGCGCTCCACGACTCGCAGTAACTACTCGCAAATGGCCTGGATCCGCCGCGGGGAATCTACGATCCATTACACAGGGGAAGACGTGTTCTTTTTCGGACGCTTGTGAGCGGGCACTTTGAGAGTAACTTCATGGAACGCGCTCGGTGCGTGGTCAACGGTTGTGATCCTCCTCCTCCTCCTCCTCCTCCTCCTCCTCCACGCACCGATTGTGGGCCCCCGGAGCAGCCCCTTCAGTTGCAGGGGGGGGGCCGGGGGCACGCGCCTGCGGGTTGAACTTGAACGGGACCTGCGAGGGGCGGGCCATAGGCGGGGCGCGCCCCCCGGCACAGCGCGAGCGCACGCGTGCATCGCGCGCCTGCTGGACCTCCTCCTCCTCCTCCTCCTCCTCCTCCTCCTCCTCCTCCTCCTCCTCCGCCTCCGCCTCCTCCTCCTCCTCCTCCTCCTCCTCCCCTCCCTCCTCCTCCTCCTCCTCCCTCCCTCCTCCCTCCCTCCCTCCTCCTCCTCCTCCTCCTCCTCCTCCTCCTCCTCCTCCTCTTCCATCCACGTTTCTTTGAATAACTCCTCCCTGTCGCGATCCCAGGCGTGTCAGTAGGGCGGGCCCGGCGTTCCGCCCTAGCTTCCCTCACAACGTATGTCCCTCCAACTTGAAATTTGCAACAGCTTCACTGATGGAGGGCGGCTGGTCTTTAAAATGTGGGTATCGCTGCAACGCCGCGCGCATTTCGCAAAAGTTTCACGGACGGAGGATGGTCCTTTTCAAAATATGGTTCTCGCCTCAGCGCCGCGCCCATGCATTTTGAAATTGACCAGAAGTTTCGAAAATTCGTATAAATGAAATATCAGGAGTTGTGTTCTAGCTCGATGTAGTATTGTCCGGACGCAACTGTCACATTGACTCGCGGTGTGAAATCCCATGAAGGGTGCTCCGACATGCATTCGCATTATCAAGACGCATCAGTCACGTTGCTTCGCGGCGTTAATGTCACAGCAATTGCGCTTCGGCACGATTGGGAATTATCACGCGGTTGTCTTCCAATGGGGCCCTTCCCGCAATGTAATCAAATTATCCAGGGACATATGAAAATAGAACTTAGAAAGAAAGGCCTGAATACAACATCATTGATGCGTGTTGGGTTTACATTCGTCCTTCTCCTCCTCCTCGTCATCATCATCGTCACCCTCCTCCTCCTCCTCCTCATCCTCCTCCTCCTCCTCCTCCTCCTCCTCCTCCTCCTCCTCCTCCTCCTCCTCCTCCTCCTCCTCCTCCTCCTCCTATGTTTCCATGGCGCCCCCAAGCAGTAGTCCGTGACACATGCGTCATACCATTGCAGTGCAAAACTCACGCCATTGAGCTTCTGCCACCGTGCCACCTGGCACGATGAGGCGTGGTAGAATGCAAGTCTTGTGAAGCTCACTCCCCGTCTCGACACGCTTCGTTGTTTGCGCTGGACCTTCCTCCCGAGGCTGCCTAGGCGGCCCGACGTATCCATGGGACTTCCCTCAGCTATCCAGGGCTTCCAAGACTGCCCAGGTGGGCCGCCAAGGCTGCCAAGATGGCTTAACATTGCCCCGAGGGGCACCCAGCAGCCCCGAAGAAGCGCCCAGTAGACCCCAAGAGGCCTCCAACAGGCTCCAAGACACCAACAAGACGCTTTCCGGGAGGGCATCAAGCCAGCGAAAAGACTAATTTCATCATGATTTTCTGGAGGTCCTGCAAATTTTGCCGCTTTCCACGCACTTCGGTCGCATACCGCTCCATTTACGGTCTTCCAAAACCCAAAAGGGTCCACTGAGAGCCCCAAGAGGAGCCCTAAGACGGCCCGAAACGGCTTCAGTAGAGCCCTGAACTGGCCCAAAAGAGCCTCCGGAACAAACCAAGACGGCCTAAGAAGGCCCAAGACGGCCCACGACGCCCTTAAGAGACCTCCAGACGGCCAAAACGGCCCCAAGACGGCCCAAGACGGCCCCGAGACGGCCCAAGGGAGTCCCAAAACGACCGAAGAGGGCCCACGAGACAGTCCCAAGCCGGCCCACATAAGCCCCATGAGAGCTTCTCAAGAAATGGAGATGAGAAGTGTCACTGGCAATTCCGCTGAAAAATAGAATGTCCTTCTCCTCCTCCTGCTCCTAATCCCTTCTCCTTCATCCCTCCTCCCTCCTCCTTCCTTCTACCCCTCCTCCTCCTCCTCCTCCTCCTCCTCCTCCTCCTCCTCCTCATCATCATCATCATCATCATCATCATCATCATCCTCATCCTCCTCCTCGCCATCACCATCACCATCACCATCACCATCAAAATCATCGTCATCGTCATCATCATCCTCATCCTCGTCACCGTCATCAATATCATCATCAGGTCATCAGCATCGTCACCACCATCGTCATAACCACTACCACCATCACAATCACAATCACCATAACCATCATCACCATCACCACCACCATAACCATTACCATAACTATCACCATCACCATCATTATCATCATCACCACCACCATCATCGTAGTTCACATAGTCATCATCACCATCATCAACATCATCATCGTCAACATCATCATCATCATCATCATCATCATCATCACCATCATCATTGTTGTCGTCGTCGCCGTCAACCTCACCACCAGTTTGATGTTGATATTCTCGCTCATATTATCAATCCTCTTTATCCGCATCATCATCATCATCATCATCATCATCATCATCATCATCATCACGATCATCATCATCATCATCATCATCATCATCATCATCATCATCATCATCATCATCATCATCATCATCATCACGGTTATCCTGGCCAACGGGCCAGAGGCGTGCTAAGATCTCCAATGACAGGTCTTGAACTTTGAACATGTTTAGGTCGCGCGCGCGGGGCCCTCAGACGAAAAATACCCCAAGTAAGTCCGGGCAGGCGCCCTCAGGGATGCCGGAATTCCCCGGGGCGATCTTCCAGACCCCCAAGAGCGTTCGAGGAACGCCCCGACGGAACCAAACGGAGCTCCAAGAGGGTACTCCAATCGAGATCCACGGGAAGCAAGCCCGCATGACCCCAAGAGCCCAAAAATGCTTCGAGATACCTCCACTGGGGACTTCGGTGGAGCTCCCTATGGGGCCACGAAACGCCTTACGGGTTGTGGCGGGCGCATGCGAGCACCCCCACTGATGATGGCGATGACGATGACGATGGCGATGATGACGATGATGATGATGATGATGCTGATGATGATGATGATGATGATGATGATGATGATGATGATGTTGATGATGATGATGATGCTGATGCTGATGCTGATGCTGATGCTGATGATGATGATGATGATGATGATGATGACGATTATGATAAGGGGATGAGGGAGGAGGGGGAAGGAGGAAGGAGTGAGGAGCGCGGGGAGCGGTCTCTTCCAAACGAGGACCCAACACCACTGGATGATTGGAAAGTATATGTTTTATTAACCGCAATGTTGCGATTATGACTATCACTCGTAGTACGACTAATATTAGTATGTATCATCTTTGTGGTCTGAAACAGATTATTAATGTCACTGGCATTACGATTATTAGCATTACTATCATTCTTAGTATCCCCACTATTATTTGTTTTCTTTGTAATATGATACCAGAGACAAACCCAGTCATCATATTTTTAGGGCTGTAGGTATGTAAGGCTACAGGGTTACATGGGCTCTTGGGCGCTAATATGGGCTATATGGCTATATGGCTATTTGGGTTATAGGGCTATAGGGCTATAGCGCTATAGGGCTATAGGACGATAGGGATATAGGGCTATCAGGCTATAGGGCCACAGGGCACTGGGCACCCGGGCACCCGGCACCCGGGCACCCACCCGGGCACCGGGCACTCGTCACCCGAGCACCCGGGCACCCGGGCATCCGGCCGGGCACCCAGGCATCCGGGCACCCGGGCCTGGCCACCGAATCGGCGGCGAACCCCGGCACCCGGGCACCCGGGCACCCGGGCACCCGGGCCCGGCCACCGAATCGGCGGCGAACCCCAGCATCCGGGCACCCGGGCACCCGGGCACCCGGGCCCGGCCACCGAATCGGCGGCATACCTCACCTACCCTTAAATCCGCTAGGACCCCTACAGAGGCAAGCTCTGATTAAGGAACTATACTTACACGTACCATTATGAGTCCTCCAAATATGATTAGTAATATGACCAAATGTTCGTAGCAGTAGTCTTCTGATTAATGTGAATCTCGTTTTTCCCAATAGTACGATTATGTGCTTAGTAGTATTCATGCTACTAGCATTATTATTTTCCTAAGTTTATGTGGCACGCGTGTCTTCTTATGATTAGTTACATTACTTATACGATTAGTAGTGTTACTAGTACTCGCATTACTAGTTCTATTGCTTTTATTACGGTTGGCTTTGTTCTAGCACCAGTACTATTCCTCCTCCTTGTCCTTCTCCTCCCCCCTGTCCTACTCCTCTTCCTCCTCCCCCCTCCCCCTTTTCTCCTCTTCCTCCTCCTCTTCCACCATGATGACGCTGCGTGGAATTGATGCAACAGCATGAAGCGATAATACGAGGAGAAAAATAATGCAGCACGCCGACTTGGACAAGGCGCAAACGAACTAAGCCTGGCGGGCGCAGCCAGATAAGGAAGGCCAAATAGACGCGAAAAGAGCACAGGGTCCTGGGACCTTCGAGCATGCGCCCGCCAGGCCGCAATCAGCAGCTAAGCCCAACGTTACCTCGGTGCCCCCCCTACCTTAGGAGATCCCCCATACGTTTATCCAGGCAGACAGAGTCGAGTAGGTGCAAGAGAGAAAACGTACAAACTGTGTCAGGGCTGGCACAGACTGCGCTGGCAGGCCCTGCCAAAAAATGATCCTGGCGAAGGACCCAGCCATATGCAGTTGTGGGTACCGCAATTGGGAATCTATTTTTCGGAGAAGCTCCATATGGGGCCACGAAGCGCTGCACTGGGGAACGCATGTGGTACCCCCACTGGGGCCTTGGGTGGGGCTCCCTATGGGGCCACGAAACGCTGTACTGGGTGTGGCGGACGCATGTGGCCACCCCCAATGGGGCCTTGGATGGAGCTCACTATGGGGCCACGAAACGCTGTACTGGGTGTGGCGGACGCATGTGGCCACCCACTGGGGCCTTGGGTGGGGCTCCCTATGGGGCCACGATACGCTGAACTGGGTGTGGCGGACGCATGTGGCCACCCCCACTGGGGCCTTAGGTAGAGCTCCCTATTTCAAAACGAGGACCCAACACCACAGGATGGTTGGGAAATAATTGAATAATCTC